GGTGACTAATTCGAGGCTAAAGCCTCTGAGTAAGTCTCATGGTCATGCCTTTGCTACATGGACCACGTCTTTTGTAAAACCTACTATCAGCCAACTAGCTCCAATCGCCTTCGCGTCTGTCCTGTCTCTATTACTTGTCATGCCCCAGTATCTTGTACGCCAAACCACAGATGTTGTGGTACTGCTTGCTGTCATTAGGTGTAATGTCGAATCACAACGTTTGTGGGTTTGGCACACAACGTCTAGGAAAGTTCCTCGTCCACGGTCTGACTTTGGAAATGATCATGCATACAGGTTCGTTCCTCTAAATTATCCTACTATTATGACTAAGTTGCAAAAACAAGGTCAATCAACTTCTATAAAACTAAAGGAGACTGTGACCACACAAAAAGAAACGCCATCTTGGTCTTCATACCTTCGGATAAACAATTTTTTCCGAATTTTTATCCTAAATGATTTAATTCAAGTTTTTAGTCAGAGGGGTCACGATCAAAAACAAGTGCTTAAAATGAGCCTGTCCTGAATTCATTTTTACAGATTAGAAAAGCAGATCACACCATCCTCTAAAATTGAGGGGATCTGTGTTCAAATTTGAATTCAGGCAATATCAGGAGTATGATAATACATCTCGTATAATATGGACTATTGCAGGTGCTTAGCCTCGATGCCAAAAAGTGATTCAGGCATTCAAAGTCTTATCTTATATTATGTATCTTCTTCTAACTAATTAAAGCCTCAAGAATTCTTGAAAGTTAAAGCAACAATTTCGCCTTTTTTAGTAAGAATCAAATCTTATTCCATTTTCGAATTTGATAATGTCTTAACAGTCATTTTACAGATTAAAACAGTTAGGCGTTTAGCGATTAGGAGTATAAAAAAATACCTAGAGGTAAGTTATATAAGATAAATGCATATTGGTTTAATTTCAACAACCAGAGATTGATTTTATCACGAAAAGATCAATTTATTTAGGCAATTATACCTAATTGTAAATTTAAGCCTTCATATATAAATTATTAATCCCTTTTGCAGGAACGTATTAAGTCCAAGAATGTTTTTTACACAGAGGAATTAAATGTAATCTAAATACGAGTATATATCCAATATACTAAGGCAAATGGAAAAAAAATTCTGTCTATCTAAAATATTTATATTTAGTTTCTATAAAACAAGGAATACATTTTTGAATAAAACAGTCAAACTTTTAATTAGTTAACTAAAATTACAATTCGCATGCCGATCACAAATTATCAAACTATATAGATCCCGAACTTATCCACCAAAAAATTGTAGTATATAGATGTAATAAATTGTACCACTATGCTATGAACGATTTCCCTCAATGACGATGCGGATTTCGATGCCGGAAAAATGTTAAAAGATCTAACGCGCTAGCAAAACGATTCTGTATATCATCATGAATATTATATAGGAGGAGATAGGACTATGTATACTTCACAATATTCCTGCTTCGCTCCCACAAGGTTTAAAAATATTTGGTAAAAACACTACACTGACTAACGTGAGTTAAATTAGATCTAAGGACCTAATATGTTGGCATTCGTATATTCCATATAATAAGTAAATTTGAGTAAAAATAATATAGTACCCCTGCAAAAGGATAAAAACTATTCTTTCAGTAAATGCCTTCCATAAGGCGTACGAAATCTTCATGTAACTGAGTTATTTAGCATTTAAGCCCAAATATTTATTTTATTTAAGCTCATAAGCAAACTTCCCTTGTTGATTAAAAATGATCATGAGGAAAATAGTTAAGTATTTTTATGTGGGGTGTATTCTAAATATTTTGTTTAAGATTTTAAGGTGACTGGTAGTTTAATTTTTCCAACAATGGTATAAGTATAACTTATATTTCCATTGAATTTTACATAGACATGCTAACCGAAGATGTATTATTATTGAGGGTGGACTGCAGTTTCGACCTTGCCTAGGTTTTATCAACAATTCTACCGGGAATCGAACGATGACGATGCAACGTATATTCTTGACACATCAAAAGCTACGCCACATTGACACTAGTGATCTCGAGCCCTAAGGCGCATGTAAATTACAACGAAGCCTGAGCATTTTCCAATATCTCATTCTGTGGTGGGATTGTCGATAAAGAGAAATTGTAAAAATTAACTTAGAGTTTACTTATCATCTTAAATGAGGTAGGTGAATGCGCTTCATATATAACTAATCTAAAGGCAGTCATAACAAGGCTACTTATAAGCGAAATATAAGTAATATCGTCGATTGATATAGCAAATACAACCTTGCTTCCACGACATTTCCACCACGGAATGTAATGTGGGAAAATTGCAGGCCTCCCTTGAAATTCACATTTTTTCTGTGACCAAATGGCACTCATGGCAATGTGGCATATAGATTAACGTGTTAAGATTGTACGCTGCAGAGTCTGGGTTCAAGTCTCGATGTAGATGTTTAAAAGACACGTTTGAGGCGGAAACTGTAGCTCATCCAGGATAAGAATAATTTTTTGAGAAATCTAGGCTATGTTTGAAACAACGGAAATGTAAAGTCTCCTCATATCATTATTAAAAAATTTCAACTGCTAGCCCTCTTATTACTCTAAATGAAATAAAATGAATTCCTTTCATATATCAATGATTTGCCTGTTTACTCGAAAAACCGACTTATCAACAAAATATAGGTAAGTATTTAACAAATTCAACAATATTGCTATAATATTATACATCTAGATAACAAGTTTACATTAATTTAGTAAAAGTATGTAATTAAATAGTAATAGTTTACTAATTAATTTTGTTTTAGCCTATTAAAGACAATAGCAACACGCTACTCTTTCAAATGGCTCTATCCAGGATTTCCCTCAATCCTCCTCCGAACATAGATCCTACCAAGGGCACATTAGCCTATGGACGCTTGGCTTTAAAAAGACTAGTTGTTTTCATTACCTTATTATTTAATTGTTGTGCTTAATTATTGTTATATTTATTTGTTTATTTCATATACGTTTTCAAAAATCTAGAGAATTGAACTCAACGATGATAGCCTTCTTGTGCGACAAAGAGCAGTTAAAGCTCTTTCAGATTATATTCATGACAGTGAAAATGTTGCTTCTGCTATAAATGAAGGTAACTTCTTTATAACAGCTTATTATAGGAATATTTTTCTCTCTTAAGCACCTACTCTCAGACACCGATATAGCTTGCAGAGCATATGCAACAGAGTGCTTTCAGACATTTTGCTGTAAGCTTTTATAATAAAGTAATTTTAAGTACACGGAATTGGTCGGCAAGCATTTCTGGACCACGATATACTTTCTGCCTATGACAAATTATACGCATCTACAGAACCAGACATAGTTAGAAAGCGGGTTCACCAATCTTTAGCATTACTGACAAGTGTTCCTCTTTACGCAGAAGGAGTTGTGAACAAGGGGCTGATACCTTTATTAGTTGGGTTATCCGAGAGAGAATTAGATGAACTAAAGGTAACATGATGCACTAAGTTTTTTTTAATGAAGTCAATTTGCCACACATTTTTATACTTATTTTAAATATAAGCCCTTAGTTTTAGAGACCCTTAGCTACATCCTGTCTTTTGAACCTAAGTCTGGCCTCAACGCAAATGGAATGAAAATTTTTACAGCATTACTCAGTCACAAAGACCCCAGCGTCAGAACAAAAGCCGCCCTTTGTATATTAAAGATGAGGTAATTATACATTATTAGCTTTAAAAATATATGCAGCAATATGAACAGTTAACTCTTGTTAAAAGCATTTCTTCAATTGAAAATTAATTGTTAATTAGCTTCCAATCCTAGATATTACTTTTGACTAAATCCAATTTTTATAATCATCAGTAGGTTTTCGATACCTTAAGTATATCTTATATAAGAGCTGTATTCATTCTATTTCTTTTGAGATGATGAAGGCCTACTCATAGTATTGAGGGTAAATTCAACTACCACTTCTTCATCACTTTTAACGAAGTAAGATGTATATAGTTCTTATAGTATATCTAATTTATTTTCTTTTTAAATGTTTCGATAAATTTATACTATATGTAGATAGATTTTTATTTTCATAGCTTTATTATGTAAATCTTATTTTCTTTAAAGAGTTGTTTGGACGTAACCCTTATTTCACCTCAATATAGATTATAGTGTATTATGTAAATAATTGTAATTATGTACATTGATTAAAAGTATTTTTGATTATATACAGCTATAATATATACAGC